TAATTTAAATCTTCCCATATATCAATGTACACATTTTTTTTTTTTTTATTAATAAGCTTTTTACTTGTCAATTAATGCTTAATTTATTGCTTTAATTCCAATCTTCCTATATATATATATATATATCAATGTACAATCCAAAAAAAAATAAAAACAGCTAATTGGATATATTTCTGTCTGTCAGCTGTTGAATCAGATGGATGGATTTGACACTCTGCATAGAGTCAAGATGATCATGGCCACCAACCGGCCGGACACTTTAGACCCTGCCCTGCTGCGTCCTGGCCGACTGGACAGAAAGATCCGTACGTTTGACTTTCACTATCCTCCAACTTCACATATTCAGTGACTGGTAAGAAATCTTGAGTTATTATTTATTGACTTATTTTTTCCAAATGTACAGACATTGAGTTGCCCAATGAACAGGCTCGACTGGACATCCTGAAGATCCACTCTGGGCCCATCACCAAGCATGGAGAGATAGGTGCGCCTTTATGACTTTCCGGTTTAGTTTTTACAGCTGTGACTTTTTTTCTTTTTGAATACTTCCTTTTCCTCTCTCATCACATTTCCTTTCGTCTCCAGATTATGAAGCCATCGTCAAGCTTTCAGACGGTTTCAATGGAGCCGATTTGAGGAATGTGTGCACTGAAGCTGGTAAGAAATGTTACATGCATTGCAATGTGCAAATCAAAGAAGCATTAAAGGAATAGTTCGCCCAAAAATGAAAATTTGCTGTTGATTTAAAAACTATAAATTGCGTGCCATGCTAATATAATTAGGGCTGCAACTTTTGATAATCGATTAATCTGTAGATTGTCTTTGATTAATCAGAAAAGGCTATTCTACATCCTGTCCAATATTGCCCTCCATACAGTGTGTAAATTGAAGGCTATGAAAATAACTATAGTTTATGTAGAATAAACTTCATGTGCCAAAAAACATTCTAAAATTTGCCCACTGTAATAAAGAACAACAGTATTTGTTGTCAGTTTTTTTTTAAATAGCTGTTAGTGGAAATGTGCTTTTGGGTTTAATAGCATGACACTGACCAGCCAAACCTTGAACCTTTGAGCCTCTAGAATTCTTATTGTTTTGAGCTCTCCTCCTTTTCATCCAACAGGTATGTTTGCCATCCGTGCAGATCATGAGTATGTGACTCAGGAGGATTTCATGAAAGCTGTGAGGAAGGTGGCAGACTCCAAGAAGCTGGAGTCCAAACTCGACTACAAGCCTGTATAAAACCAAATTTTTTGTGCAAAGTATAAATGTGAGGGGTTTTCGGTCAGTAAACAGTACTGTCCATGGACACAACACTTCTTTTTTTTGTTACTGCAATAGTTTTTTTTTTTTTTTTTATCAATATTTTAAAGCATTCTGATGATCCATTTCCATGACTACCATCAAGTGACTTCAGCTATTCAGTTAATGCATTGTTTAGCCCCAGTTTGATCGAAAATATTTACCTGTTGGCCAAGTGTAGACTTGTAAGATACGGCTCTAGAAATCGGTGTGATCCGTTATATAAACTGTGTGCCTGGCCTGCTTTTCCACATCATTAAAGTCAATGATTAAAGAAATAAGATAACCTCCCACTGTATCTCTCCAAAACTCCACAATGATTCCTTCTGAAATGTATATTTGTTAGTTAAACCAATATATTGACAAAAATAAATAAATATCCTATTCAACTTAAAATCTCTATATTAAACAAATCTTACAAGCACACTCAACTTCAAAAGCCTGAAACTGATATCATTCTAGAAGTGTCTATATGTGGGGTTAAAGGTCAGCTGCCTGCAACTCTTTATCTTGAAGATGCTACGTTTCCTTTTCGAGTTTAGCCTTTCCAGCAAAGGCTTGCTTTTAATACTGAGTTTACACAGGCTTAGTCTTCTGTTAAGTCCTCATCGCGAGCTGGTTGGTTAGCCAGAGCAAAAGATTCAAGGACAAACGCTCGGCAGATCGGACAGTGCTGGAAGTGGCACACGCAGCCGTCGCATACGCATGCATGTCTGCATGGCAACAGCACTCTGTTTATAGGTGCATTTTGACACGCCACACAGTCCCTGCCTTGGGTATCAGGCCACTCCCCTTCTGCATCAGACTCCTCCCCCTTCTCACCTGGCCTTTCGGGCTGTGGCTCCACCCCTTGCGTGCTAGTTGAAGGCTCTGTGGTTCCAGACAAGTTGCTGTTGTCTGCTGACATGAAGAGAGGCTGTGGAAAAAGAATAGTTTTAAGCCCACAATCCCGCTCTAGACAAGGCTCTTAATTAATGGTGTAGAATTAAACACTGTCCCATTTCGCTTCAGGGACACTAGGTGTTGAAGGTTAAGTGTGATCAAAATGAGCATACAAAAACTGATCCCAGAACAGTAGAAAATGACAATGTTGTGAAGACGTTTTCATACCTTCAGATCGTACAAATTCCCATGTGCCGTGAGAAGATACTGAAACAAGATTCTCACAGAGAGTCTGTATTTGACATCAGGAACGTGGAGCACTGTCACACTGGCCACCTAGAAAGACAACAGAATAACAGACTTTATCTGTTTCCATCAAGCAAATCCGATAAAGAAAAAAAAAAGTGCTGCTTACAATATTGTAGTTGTCCCTGGTTTCTGGATTGGCAAGTGTCAGCACAGCCACCAAGGGGTATCGATCCCGGGGGAGCAACCCAAAATCGGTTACTCCGAGATCTGGAGGCATCTGGGTGAAGTATTCTTTTTCTTCTTCATGTATACTAACGCTATGTTAAGGACAAAGCATAAAATTGTGTTCCATCGTATTAATTTAAAATTTATTTATTTATTATTTTTTTTTGGGTGACATTAAGGAGAGTGCAAGAGATGATGTGTTTTGTCACGTGACCATATATTTAGAAAATCATATACAGATATGCAATATAAATTCCACTACAAAATTTGAGAACTGTTTCACTACATTCACAATTTGCGTGCATTTTCTAGCTAGTTTACAAAAATGTAGTATATATATATATATATATATATATATATATATATACACGCACTCCAGTTAAAAAGTCTTTTAAAGAAATAGCTTTATTCAGAAAGGATGTATTAAACTGATCAAATGTAACAGTGAATGCATTTATAATGTTAGAAAATATTTATATTTCTAAAAAATACTGATCTTTCTCTTCATTCAATCTTTGCCATCACAAGTATAAATTATGTTTTAAAATATATTAAAATAGAAAACTGTATTTTTTGTTTTTACTGTATTTTTAATCAAATAAATGCAGCCTTGGTGAGACATTAAAAAATCTGACCCTAGATTTAAGTGTACATTTTTATTTAAAAGATAAATCATCATAATGACATGATAAATTAGCTTTTTTTACCCAATTATGTATACAGCATACTGTATACATTTATGTACAAACAATTTAAAATGCAATCATCATGATGACATGATAAATACAGATTTATATGTATTATATACATTTATGTACATTTATCATGATGACACACTATAGTTTACTTCTAATATAAAGCAAGCTGTATCACTGAACCACTATATTAAAGGGGTCATATGATGCTATTTTAAAGATCATTATTTTGTGTATTTGGTGTAACAGAATGTGTTGACGCTTTGATGTTCAAAAAACACATTATTTTTCAAATACTGTACATTATTGTAGGTCCTCTATGCCCTGCCTCTCTCAAGCACGGCGTTTTCAACAAAACCCCCTCCTTTGACAAGCGCAGTCTGCTCTGATTGGCCAGCTGACCCAGTGCATTGTGATTGGCCGAACACCACAAGCACGCGTCAGAAATGTAACGCCCCTTACCATAATCACGAGCTTCAAGCTTTCAAAGTAAATATCAAGACAGTTAATAATGTCGTTAGTTTTACCATCAGTTCAAGCCCGAAAGGGCAACAGAGTCGCGTGACAGACACAGTGATGATGCAGTACACAAGCCGCGGTTAAGACAGCTGACGTGCTATGATTTCTGACAGGCAGTTCACTCTCCTGTGATGTGACCCCGTTCCCCTCACACACACGCACACACGACGCGGTACTCGGCGCTGCGCAAAACTCCGCATTTGAACAGTCAATAGCAAATACTTAAACTAATAACAAAACATACTTACAGTCATTGATTCAGAAGCGCCAGATTGTCATAGCAAAGTCAGAATTACCTCCTCTCCTAGGTTCACGAAACGGTCGTCCATAAAATGCATTGCTGTTCTGTTGTAATGTGCAGTCTAGCATTGGGCTGTCACCCTTCAAGACTCACTAACGTAAACTTCCGGTTGTGGCAGCCGCTACGGTGGCCCAGAGGACCAAATCCGCACATGACTCCTATACAGTCACGCATAGGGAGGAGCGTTACAGCAAGATAGTGAAGAGAAGTCCGATTCATTCCGAGAATCGACTCCTTCAAACAAATCACTTCAATGAACCGATTAAAAATGATTCTGTTTTGTTTACGTCAGCACGTAATTGCAGCGTCACTTTTTACATTTAAAAATGCACCTTCGTTCAAACGAAGATACTGAATATTATACTAAAGCAGAGCAAAATTGTATTATATTATTGTATATAATTGTATAAAAAATAGAATAACTGTACAATCATTCACTATAGCGTTCAGAGTCTCTGTCTATGCACAGCCGTACTTAAGTCAACAACACCATAAAGATGTTTTATTAGTTTTTAATTAGCAAACTTGCATTTATGAATGTGAAATTTGGTCACGAATATAAGTAAATCAATTAAATAAACGCTTTCATCCTCTTACTCATATTAATAAAAATAAAATTATGTCAGCCATATAAAGATATAGTCAGCTATATGGCAGAAATAATACGTGATATTTCGAAAACAGCATATTTCTCAGATATTTCTCGCCCTGTTAAACGAGTTGGATTCGAGAACAGATTCAGTCGTGGACGACTCGGTCGGACTGTTTTCTTGTGAACCGGTTGAACTAATCCCTTAAAAAGATCCGACTCAACAGAAAGATTCGTTCACGAGTCGGACGGCGCTACACTGCAAGAGAGGGGCTTCACAGGGAGAAATACAGTCGGCATATAATGGAAAGTGAACAGGTTGGCGTGTTCGCCCTATAAGTTGAGGACCGTCCGAGTGAATTCGACTATTTAATGGAGTTTCAAGTCCAGCGTGTGTGATTGACGCGTCCGTACAGATGCTGGCCGCTCCGGTCGCGCCGGGGGAAGGAGAGGTTTTGACACCGTTAGATTTGTTGTTATTATAATCAGCTGACCGGTGCTGAAATCGCTCCGTTTACGGTTTTCTAAAAAGCGGCGATGAGCGCTTGTCAGGACAAAACGTCGTTGAGTTGTTCGCGAAGCAGGGAAAATGTCAGCGGCGGTGAATGGGGAAGGATGGAGGATGCGTGCGCGTCCTGCTTTGACGAAGCCACGGGCGACGCGATACGCGCCGGGATGGATGCGGTGCAGCCGGGCATAGACGGACATCTGCCGCTGCCCCGAGGCCAACGAGGACTGATGCTAGGCCTGGTGGAAGAGGGTTTCGCCGCCTATCATGGCCGTCTCGGTTCTGATCCGGACTCAGATTATCTCGACATCCCCAGCGTCCCGAACTACAGCGAAAGTAACGGGAACGTCGCCACGAAAAAGCGCAGCAGCTCCAACAGCTCGCGGCACCGCGGGGAAGTTGTCACGGAACTCGGACCCGAAGAGGTGCGCTGGTTCTACAAAGAGGACAAGAGGACCTGGAAGCCGTTTGTTGGACACGATTCTTTGAAAATCGAGTTGGCGTATCGCAAATTCTGTGAACTTAACCCGAACGAGGTCAGACGGAGGGATGTGGGTGAAGAAGCAGAGAATTTATTCGAGTCATCGTCAGGATGCGAAGCACCGGCGGTCCGAAGACAGTCGGCGGCGGCGGTGGCAGCGCAACCGGTGCCCGAGAGCGCGGATGCTGGATGCTCAACAGACGAGACGGAGCTGGATTCAGAAAGCATCAACGTGGACGCAGTGTGCGTCCGTGGAGGACTCTACGAGGTGGACATCAAAAAGAAAGACTGTTATCCTGTATACTGGAACCGTGAGTCCAACAACAACAAAATTGTATCTGGAAAACAAAAATAGATGTTTTGCAGAATGCTCATACTGCTCTTATACGTACAACGAAATTAAATGGTTACTTGAGACTGTCAAGCTCCAAAAGCACCATGAAAGTATCCTAAAAGTAGTCTACATAATTCAAGTGTATTTCAAATCATCTTGTGTGTGGAAAAAAATGAAATTTAAGTCATTATTTGCCAAAACATCACTGCCATAACTCTTAAATCTCAATGAGCTCATTATTCAAATTTGACCCTGAAAGTCCTGAAAATCATTGCATCTGATTTGATGCCAATTTGAATGTGGCTTTGAGCGAATAACAACATTATGGTCTGTTCCTCAAATGGATTGTCCATTATAGTGTAACTTCTCCTTTGGTGTTTGTATGACGTGTAATTATGGCAGATTTCTTTTTTTTTTGTTTTTTAGATTTATAAAACGTAGGGCGTTTAAGTTGGTCACACTAACTCACACTGTGGACCCACAGAAAGCTGTCAGATTTTAATTGACTTCTGAGTTGTGAAATCGTTATTGACAACAGACAATGGGCCTTTTTTTTTTGGCCCGCAATATTTCGCTAATGTGGCCACACCTTAAAGGGAGAGTTCACCCAAAAATGAAAATTTTGTCATCATTTACTCACCCTCAAGCTGTTCCAAACCTGTATGAGTTTCTTTCTTCTGTTGAACACAAAATATTTAGAAAACCACTGGTAACCAAACAGTTGCTGGTGGCCATTTTTTCTCTCCATATGATGGAAGTCAATGACTACCAGCAACTGTCTGGTTACCAAAGAATGTTGGTAACCAGACAGTTGCTGGTAGTCATTGACTTCCATCATATGGAGAGAAAAAATGGCCACCAGCAACTGTTTGGTTACCAGTGGTTTTCTAAATATTTTGTGTTCAACAGAAGAAAGAAACTCATACAGGAACAACATGAGGGTGAGTAGATGATGACAACATTTTCATTTCTGGGTGAACTATCCTTTTAAAGCCTGCTATACACTACTACATTTTTTAAAAATCCTTTAAGATGATACCTTTACAGATTGTACTATCTGACCTTAAGAAGATAGACCATGTGTGACATTTACCATCTTTCACGCCAGACTGTATGATAAATTGTAGCCAAGTCATCTAGACTTGATTAAGCATTGAAATCGGTTGCATGCCGGTCGCATCATTCTATATTCGCAACCTCAAGTTTAAACTTTGCATTCACAGTCCGAAACAGTGAATCATTTCAAGAATGAACAAAGTGGCACTGATGAATTTGAATGCAGGTGTTTCAAAAAACAGAAAATGGCATCTTTATATAGTTTTACTCTATATGAAGCATAGACTTAATTCATGCCACAAAAAACGTGAAGTCATTATGTACATTACTAACAAATATAGGCCTAATGTAATTTAATTAATTGTAAAGACCATTAATTCATTGAACCATGCAATCAAAAACTTGAGATTTTTCCCCACGGTAACAGGAAATTCTTTGGGATCTTTGGGCTTAAGTCAGATGAAATGTTTCTTCAGAAATGGATACAAATTCATACTGCTTGCATTTACAGAACAGGACCACATTCCGGTCATGAGAGGCCAGTGGTTCACGGATGGGACCTGGTTGCCGCTGGAGGAAGAGGACAGTGACCTCATTGAACTGGAGCATCTGGCCCGTTTCCGAGGCCAGCAGATGAAAGACACCTTTGACACGGAAGCGGTGGCCACCACGGTGGACAGCAAAGATGGTAACAAACCATGCTACAAATAGGACTCAGGGTTAGGAAGCTTTGTTATGGGGCTCAAGCACACAAAAAAAAGGCCGACTTAACATTGACACTTTTAGTTCAGCCGATCCAGAGGCACGATCATGAATGAACCACAACCCAACCCAGACATCCTGTTTGTCTCATATGACACACATTTGAACTAAGACAAGCACTGGTGACATGTATACAGCAGAAGGGCTATTGACTGTCACTTGTGTTTGCAAATAGTCAAAAAGACCCTTAATTGAAATGATCTGATCTGGTTAGACATTACTTAACAGTCGGGTAATTTGACACAGACCTGTTTGACTTCTGCCCTTAATTCACTCAGCCATTCACAGTCTGAAACTGAGCCGGAGCCACGTGGACTGGCACAGCGTGGATGAAGTGTACCTTTACAGCGATGCTACCACTTCTAAGATCGCACGGACTGTTACTCAGAAACTGGGATTCTCTAAAGGTTTGTAACACCCTTGATTAGTAAGTACATTCTCAATAGTGTTGCTCATTTAATTAAAGACCACATAAAATGGCTTGATGAGTGCAGTGCTCTATTCTAAGTTTTGTATTTTCTGTTGAAACTGGACGTTTGGGCAGGACATATTCACCCTTTTTTTTTTTAATAGCCAATCCATGGCTGAACTCGGAATAATACTACTCGTACTATTTCTGCAATACAGAAGTGTAGTATGCTAGTATGTTATTTAGAATTCAGTGCAGGATTTGCTACTTGGGACAAAAACATTGTGAGTCATCAGTATTTTTGGTTTAGTTTCCCAGAAGAGAAAGAGAAGTAACTTTTCAATTCATGTATCTGCTTAAAGTACATTATTGGAGTACACTAGCCTACAGATGATTTCAAAGCGAACAGACATGGAATAAAAGAAAAAAAGAAAAATATATATTTTTTAAATTACACTGGGTCACTTTACTGCTTTTGCACCATTGAGAGTATATTATTTATTGACTTGACGTGGAACAGCTGAAATTTAGAGGACTTTTTTTGACCTGGGAACTAAGTATATCTATATGTAAATTCATAATTACTAATTACTATTGTCTTTGAAATATGGTTTAAGTGTACTGCTGAATACACTGACAAGCACTGATTTTAAACTAAATTATATATAAATATATGTAAATATAGATTTAAAGTACACTACATGACACAGTGCCTTCAAGCTTTTTCACTAGCAGAGTCACTGTTAAACCTAAAGATAAAATAAAGTGATTATCAATTTAGCAAAAGCTGCAAAGTTTCTTCCTTCATGTCTGGTTAGCGTCCAGCAGCGGGACCCGTCTCCATCAAGGTTACGTGGAGGAGGCGGCTCCAGAGGACACGCCTCCTGAAACAACGCACATAGTCTTTGTGGTACATGGGATTGGCCAGAAGATGGATCAGGGGCGTATCATTAGAAATACAAGCATGTGAGTCCATCAATCACACAGTTGAATCTGCACAAAACCAGTCATCTAGACCTGAAGCTAACTAATGCATTTCACTGATGGTTAGGATGCGTGATGCTGCCCGCAAGATGGAGGAGAAGCACTTTTCTGAGCGAACAAATGAACACGTTGAGTTCCTTCCTGTGGAATGGCGATCTAAACTCGCCCTTGATGGAGGTATTGCCTATGGAAAATAATTAAAAACAAAGTACATTATGGTTGAAAACTATTATTATTGATAGATAGATTATTTATGACGAAATTGACCTTTTCAGACACCGTGGACTCCATTACTCCAGACAAAGTGCGAGGTCTGAGAGACATGCTGAACAGCAGTGCAATGGACATTATGTACTACACGAGCCCTTTGTACAGGGATGAGGTGACATATAGCCACAATCCTCCATTCTTTTCATTCATTTTCTCAGTATTTTTTATTTTTAAACTCTCTAACCCATTATAAACTAGACATGTTTCAAAATCTAATACATAAACAACAATTTATATAGTTTAGTATAGTTTAAATTTATATTAAATACAATTAGATGAACCATAGAGTTCTTTTTTGACCCTCTTTATATGTAATATAATAATTCTAATGTCTTTCAAATATGGTTAACGTGTATGTATGGTTATTTCAATGTCATTTCTATTGAAACTTGTATGTCATGTATTTAAATATACTTGTAATATCACATTTTGATGATGAAGTTGCAATTTACTACATGCTAAATATATTAGTTTTCAGTGTAATACTGAATAACATAGTAAAATGATATTCCAGTACTTTATGTTAGTCAACATATCAAAAATAATTTGACTTATTTAAAGCAAAACAAAAGATTAAAACAATGATTTACAATGCACTTTAAAGTGAAAGTTTTAATTTGACATTATTACAAAATGCACTTTTTACGTGTGTTAAGAAATATAATCTTGAAAGTGTTCTCTGTTTGAGTACACTTAATTGGCCTTTTATTTCATTAATATTATATTATCTCAAGTACATGTATCTCTAAGTGCAGTCTTTTGTAATTTGTGGACAAGAAATGTTGGGTATAAAGTTCAGAAAGTATAAATATTAATATTATTTAAAATAAATTATTTTAACCAATACTTGTTTGTGCTATGTATTTGAGCTTATTAGAGTATTTTTAGCTTAGCAGCATTCAGTTGATTATTCACTACATCACTACCTGTGGTCAGTGTTACAAAACTGTCACTTATTAGGTTCCATTCAGAATGCACGCTGCTAAGTTAGAAGGCAGCTGTCTATGTAGGCAGTAGACAGCATAGCAGCTGACTAGGTTTTGGAGCAGAGCTATTCTCAGTCTCTCTTTTGTAAAGTTTGACTAAATGTCCCACTCGTACACTGAAGCACACTCTGTCCTACTCTTTCGTAGTACACAAATAAAGTGTCACACTTGTTCATTTCTTGCTCACTGCACTTGCATCCTCAGATCACCCGAGGTCTGACCAAAGAGTTGAACCGACTCTACACGCTCTTTTGTGAGCGCAACCCAGAATTTGCAGAGAAAGGAAAGGTGTCCATCGTCTCCCACTCGCTCGGCTGTGTCATCACCTTTGACATTATGACAGGGTGGGACCCTGTGCGCTTTGTTCATGAAGAGGTGCCAGATGCCATGGAGGCTGATGTTAGCAGACAAGAGCGCCAGCTACTGGAGGACCTTCGTAACACATGCTTAAGGTTTACAACTAATTATAGTTACACTCTACACTGCCATTATATTGAGTAAATGTGATAATAATGAGCAGCTACACTGAACATTCTTGAACTTTTTTTTTTTTAAGAACAAGAGAGTTTTGGGGAGGACACTTTGCGGGATTTCAGGATAAAAACTGAAAAATATTCCTAAACCAGTGACAAAAAATAAAAAAATGTATTAAACTGATTTAATTGATTTGATTTGATTTATTATTTTTAATTAAATTGATTTCCAGGGACATTTCTTTACCCTTTATAAGGGCAAATTCTTAACCTTATTGAATGTATGCATCATCTTTCATGTAAATCTGTATATTTATTCAATAAATGCAATTACCAATCAAATGAAATCATTATCAGACAAAATGCACTGCAGAAGTGGCACAGAAGCTGCATTTACACTGCAGTTACAGTTGCATAAATAATGTGTTAAATATAAAATATACTGAAAATAGTGCTATAAAATGATATTTTAAATATGAAACTGAAACTGACTCTTTTAATCAGTGAATTATTGATTCACTTATTCAACCGATTCTTTCAAAACAGCTGATTCATTCAGGAATTTCAGAACCACATACTAGTATACTACTCTTGCACTTTGTACAATAGAAAGATATGCTAAAATAGTAAAAGTAGTATACTAGTATGCAGTTTCGAATTTAATGAATGTCTTATTGAATCACTCGCCCGATTCGTTCAGAAATGCTGAATCATTCAGGAATGAAACACCACCATGTTGATCGGAGATGCAATGATTGGCAAAAAAAAAAAAAAGCAGAACAGTCCATACTGACAATATTGTGTCTAAAATGTACGTCACTTAAAGGGATAGTTCATTCAAAAATTTAAATTCTGTCATTTATTACTCACCCTAATGTCGTTCCAAACCCGTAAGACCTTCGTTCATCTTCGGAACACAAATTAATATATTATAACAACATTATTCAACAATTTCTTCTCTTCCGTGTCAGTCTTCGATGCGCATTCATGAGAGTACCATGACGCATGCATGTGGTGCTGTTGACGCAGGAGCCGGCGTTCTTATGTAGAACCTGCATGCGCTGCGCCTTGTTTATGAGCAGAGGAATGCACATGCATGCGTCGTGGTACCCTCGTAAATAGCGGCAGAGGCTGACGCGGAAGAGAAGATGTATATAAAAAAAAAGTATAAAAAAGCGATCTTAAAAGGAAAACAAATGAGCATCTGGCTCAAGCCGGCATCAGTAAACAGACATTGTATTTCAAAAACAGACTGTCCAACCTAAAACCGGACAGATGGCCACCTTAACTGTAGCAACTGCATAGCAACATGCTAACAACCACTCAGATTCATCTAGTAATCACATAGCAATACGCTAACGTCCATAATACACAACCTCTCAGAACAGTCAGCAATCGCAGAGCAACACGGTAACAATAACCACTCAGAACACTCTAGCAACATGCTAACAACCACTCAAAACACACTAGCAACATGTTAACAACCACCTAGAACACACTAGCAAGAAACTAACAACCACTCAGAACACTGTAGCAACATGCTACCAACCACTCAAAACACACTAGCAACATGTTAACAACCACCTAGAACACACTAGCAAGAAACTAACAACCACTCAGAACACTGTAGCAACATGCTACCAACCACTCAAAACACACTAGCAACATGTTAACAACCACCTAGAACACACTAGCAAGACACTAACAACCACTCAGAACAGTCTAGCAACATGCTAACATCCACACACTAGCAAGACACTACCTCACACAACACCTAGAACACACTAGCAAGAAACTAACAACCACTCAGAACAGTCTAGCAACATGCTAACATCCACACACTAGCAAGACACTACCTCACACAACAGTCCAGCAATCGCAGAACAACACGCTAACAATAACCACTCAGAACACTCTAGTAACACATTAACATTCAGAACACTAGAAACTGCATAGCAACATGCTAACAACCAGAACACTCATGCAACACACTAACAACCACCAGCAACATGTTAACATCCACTCGGAGCACAGTAGAAACCAAACAGAAACTTGCTAACAACCATTCAGAACATCTTAGCAGCTGAATAACAACGCCCTGGCAAGCATTCAACAACCTAGCATTGTGGCCATCAGTTTTACATGGCTTGCACCACTCTTGTTTTCATAAGAAAATGTAAAAAACTAGTTTTTTTTTTTTTTTTAACTGTGATTTCTTGAAAAAATACTATAGTAATTTATAGTAAATACTGTACTGTTTTTGAACCATAGTAAAGTGTATTATACTCTATATATTATAGTATTTACAACACTTTTTAATGAATGCTACAGCATACTGTAGTATTAACTATAGTGAACTGATAAACTGTAATAAATA